AATTCAGGCTAAGCAAAAAGACAGGAGGGATGACAATATTCTGTTTGGTTTCTCGAATAGCCGGCCCCACCGAGACCCCATCTCTGCCCGTTTGCACCTCCAAAATGAACACTGAACACACAGACGTAAGAGAGGCTTCTAAACTTCTGGGAGCCACGACTGAGGCTACTCAAAAACTTCCAGACGAAGTGGACTTCAAATTGCCAACTCTCACAGAGCAGTCAGATGACGGTGCTGGAAGAAAACAGAGGGAGACGCCACCGTGCACACAGAAGGACATGGTTGAAAATAATCAAGCAAAGAAAGCAGAGGCCGATGTTGTTCCCCCCCAAAAAGAAAATGCAAATGATGTCTGCAGACAGGGAGGTCAGTCAGTGCAGCCGGTGTCAGTAAAATATCCTTCATGGAGGGAGCCTAGTTTCACAAGCAAAGCTGAAACTGAGAGTCCCCCCACATGCTGTTTGAAAGGAAACCGTGAGGATAAACTGTCAGACGATTGTGTTAATGTAAGCAGTCCTCCAGTAGATACTGAAGTAACGCAGCTGGACAACCAGGAGAATGCTGAGGACAATAAAAGCCCGCTGGTTATCGACACAACCTGCGTTGTTGTGAAAATGGAACAGATTCCTTCGCCTACAAAAGAGCGGGTTCACTTTTTAAGCACTGCAGCACTCGCTGAAGAGAGTCAGCTCGATGCTCAAGCAAATATTTCTCCTGAACTAAACTTTCAGCTAAATCAAGATGTCACAACTGATGAAAGCACAGAAGAAGCCTCCTCCTGCAAGATTGAAAAACCTGAGACTGATGTGGACTCAACACGTTTGGAGGAAGAGGAAGGCAAACAAGAAAGTTTAATCTCTTTGCCTTGCTTACTGTCATCTCATGTTTCTGAAAGAGAAACCTTAGAGGCGCGTGCAGAACGTATACTAGGGATCCCTCTACACGACTGCATCACTGAACCTGAAGCTGGCATGTCATTGGTCGAGTCGTCTGCAGAGGAGCAGGATGAGGAGGGTGAGCCTTCTCCACTTAAAACAGACACTGAAGACGCTTTTAAACAAACTCCAGAGGACGCAGCAGAGGACGAACCCTACCAGAATCCCTTGGAGGATCACCAAACCAAGGACAGCGTGTCTTTAAACGACCACAGTGACTCCAGAGATCAGGTGGCAAGTGAAGATGGTGGTGACTTTGTGGGCTCTCAGGACCAAGCATCACACAGGCATGAAAGGAGTGACACAGATGTCCCGCTTGAAACAGGCAACAAAACTTTAAGTGAAACTGAAAAGACTGAGGATGCTCTGCTTGAATCCACTGATGAAAAGGGTACAAGTGAACATGGTCGAGAAGATGATCGTGAGACTCAGCGTCCTAAACCCTCTGACCTTCTTTCACTAATACCTTCTGATCATCATTCTCCCTCAAATATCTCAGAGTCAAACACAGAGGCAGAGCCTGATCCTGAGTTGGCTGCTCTTAATACTGCAGATATTGCACTTCCTCCTGCAACTTCATCCCCTTCTCCTTTGCAACAGCTGCCATCTTTTTCACTGGATGGTGAGTCTTCCTCACTATCCAGTTCCCACGCAGATTCCCAGCGTCTTCTTCCTCCTTATGTTTTAACTGATCAACCAGCTGTAGAAACATCTCGCCCAGAGGAGGAAGAGGCACAAATATTACATGTAACTCAAAGTGACCTCATTAATGAGCCGGAGGTGCTGATGTCACAGGAACAGCATGAATGTGGTCAACTGGATGATGATGCCTGCGTCAATGATGAGCAACAAAATAATAGAGCTGACGAGGAGTCGATCGAGCCTTTGGAAGAAAACGACATCAACAGTTTGCAGCAAAATCTTGAAAGTGTCCAAACTGAGGGTGTTTTTTGCTTCAAGGAGAGTCATGTGAGTGAAGAACAACCTGAAGAAGGCCTTCCAGCAGAGTCGTCTGAAGTAGATGAAGAATGTGAGGAAAATGCAGGTCAAACAGAGGCCGAAGTCCTTCAACAACTTGATTGTGGTCAAGATGAGGATGTTTTTTGTATAAAAGAGAGTCACATGACTGAAAATGAGTTACAGACAAACTCAGATGAACTTATTGTAGACATTAGGGAACAGATATTGTGCAAAAACAACTCTTCAGACTCTCAAAGTGAAACACAGATTGAAATTTTGCAGGATGTTGACCCACAGACTGATCTGTCTAATTCTTCTCCTCCCTTGGCTGCAGACTGTGAGGTGTCTCTGTTACCTTTAGATGAGCTCTTCCTCCCCCAGCTTCCCTCTCCTCACCAGCAAACGTTTGAGTGCGAGTGTGTTTGTCTTTTGGATACTTCACCCCTACATCCTGACACTGCTGCTACTGGTGCCATCCCCGAAATGCTCCCTCCTCCAGTTTCCCCAGAGGCTTCACCCTCCTCTTTCTCTGAATCACCCCCTGTACTGCCTGCCAGCTCTACTCCTCCTTACGAACAGGAAGGTTTGACTCCTGACTTTCTCCAATCTGAGGCACACAAACAAGCGTTACAGTATCCAAAATCGCTGTGGGATGTGGTAAATCGCATTAGAAAGCACACAGCACCTGACTCAGAGAATGAAGAGGAAGAGGTGACCGAGTTGTGGGATCCAGAGAACTTAGGATCCCACAATGTAGCAGCAGACATGACCTCTGAAAAGGCTGCTTTTGATGAAGTCGAGCAACAGGTTTCAGAGGAGTGTGCAGAGGTGGGAGACATCCAGCATGATCACAAAGAGGTACGAGGAGACACAGAGGAAGACACGCTGTCCTGCAGCAGCACCAGCAGCCACGGCTCTAGAGACACTGTTATTGGAGCAGATGAGAACGAGGTGGAGGAAGCAGCACGTGACGCAGAGATGGAGCAAAGAACCGAGAAGGAGAGCGAGGTGTTTAAGACAGCTGAAGCAGAGCTGCATTACTCTAGTGAAGTAAACGTCGAGGCTGAGGGAGGAGAAGAGGAGGAGGAAGATGAGGCAGACATAAATGCGCCTTTTTTGAGTTCGGAGTGTGCAGCAGAGATCATGGAGACTGAGGTCGAGTGTGAGGTTATAGAGCTCTGACATGAGAGTAATCAACAAGCTGGTCCAGTGAGTTAAACACTCAGTCAAACATAAATCCGTATTTCCATGGCACTTCACAGCACATATTTTCAGAAACAGATGGGTTTTTTTTTTATTTCGGGAACACCTTAGAGATTTTAACTTGGATGTCTGAGAAGCAAAAAGGACCACTGTTACAGAGACCCCTGTATTTGACAATAATATTTAAAAGCTCTTTATTTAGGCTATTTTACTACAGTTTACCTTTAAACGATTAGTACATTTTATTGTACTTTTCCTTGTCTGTTTCTATTTCCTTGGCTTTGTGCAGTTGTGAGATAATGAAAATAGTCATAAGCAAAGACTGTAATATTTGGTGATTTAAAAGGAGTGGTTTTATGGTAATAATAGAGTCATAACAGAGGTGTGTACTGAATGTAAATAGATACTCGAGTGCATAAAAAACTAACATGTTCAGATTGTTTCCTTTAAAGAATTCGCAGGTCTTTAATGGAAGACAGCGAAGAGGAGAAGAACTTTTCCTTCCTGAAATGGGATGAAAAAAAATACTTTTCTAGAGTTACAAAAAAATAAATAAATTCAAACCTTTGCATGTTTACTGCAACTAGACAAACTTGTGAAGTATGATTGTGTGATATGAATAAAATTTCTGAAACAGCTGCTAAATGGATCGACTGATTACCTTTTTCCAAGGTCAAAAAATCTTTCATGATCTTTATTCAGGTTTATATTCCAAGGATACTAACCGGAGCCATTTTTAACCACTAATTGTTAAATATTCGTTTTACATTTTTGTGTAACAGTTAACATACATGTTAGCAAGTGCTGATCCCGGGAGGAGACACAAATCTCTGATGTAGTTAGAACCTGATAAAGACAAACAGGTTTTAGATTGCCAGTCACTGAAACTACATTCAAAAGTGTGTCTGTGTGGGTTTTTTTTTTAATTATAGGCATTAAAACTTTAAATAATAATAGCTGCTTTAAAAAAAGAGAGACAAATAGTTCAGGAACTGCTTTTATGGTTAATTGTGTGTTCCCAAATTTCAACACTATTTAAGCTCAAACTGTATGTGGGTTATATGGAGTCAAACAGATGATTATCATCAAAATTCAAGAGAAAATTAAGGATAAGATCATCCTTGAAACAAAGTAGATGTTGGAAGGATCGAGTAGTGCTGATGTTATTAAGAAAAACAAACAAAACCAAATATTTCCATTGACTGAAGACAAAGCAGAGTCAGAAAATGTACAAATTTTATAATAAAAAGACATCTCAGGAGAATGATCACAAAACGGCAAATTCATTTTCACACAATAACACCAAAAATACTTCCTGATCTTTCTACTGTGGCTGTACTGGTGTGCTCGCACTGCTGCCTACAGCACACTCTGGTGGGGTTACGCAGGAGGTCAGTTTTATTACAAAGCCAGGAAATCTAAACTTTGCTATGATCGCGATTCTCGAGCTCAAGTAAATGGCAGCTGGTTTTGGTAGTGTTTAACTCCGAGGTAATGTGAAATAATGAGCAAAGAAGTTTTGTGTGCACGAGTTTAGGCTCCAACACGTGAGGATAATTGTCGTGCTCTGTCAGCAGCATGTGAGAGGTTTAACTTGAGAAGATGCAGGCAGTTTATTTAGCAGTAGGAGTGTTTTAAAGTCACTGGAGGTTAAACAGGAATGTGGATACTAATTGTGCAAATGTTGTGTACTAAGCACTTTAACACCTTAAGACAGCGGTCCCCAACCCCCGGGCCTCGGACCGGTACCGGTCCGTGAGTCGTTTGGTACCGGGCCGCGAGAGTTGAGGCTCAGGTGTGAAATGTAT